GACACCCATCCCTCCACCAGTGTATATTTTCCACCACCAATGTCTCCAGTATCCATCCCCCCCTCCCATCCTTTCCCCTGTGTCTATGGCAGACATTTTTACTCTTTACTATCTCTCTACTTTTGGGCATTATGGTTCGCAATACAGATAATAAACAATAAACAATAGTTTACTTTATATTGCTTGTTACCACTAAAAGGCTAATGGGGTGATCAGAAAATTTTTCTGTAGAAGAAAATTTGTGAAAATTTCTCACCACGGGGACATTAAGTCCTTGTCTGAGGGTTTGCTAAGCTGTTGTTGCAAGTTAAGCCTTCTGTGTTCCTATTTTGGCTAGTAAATCTTTGTTGGTTTTCTGAACCAGACTGAGTCATCTGAGGGACCCTTGAGAGGGGCCAGTGAGGGCCCAGCACCCACCCAAACAGAGCCCTAGCAGCCGAAAACCTCCACACTCCACAATCACTGCCATGCTCATGGCTGGACTCCACAGGCTCAGGACGAGCATCATCTAGAAACTCATCTGTTGAAAAACTCAGGTATGTGGGTTTTGTGACTGAAATCTCCAGGCTCTCATGGATTCGGGGATGTGTTGCCGTACCCCATCTTCCTGTTCTTGAAATCTGGCAGTCATGCCCATGAACTGTCACTGTGCCAAATAAGCACATTAACCAGCCATGATATAGAGACTCATATATAAATCTTGAAAGAGACTAACAAGTCGCAGAGTTGCTCCAGACACCACGATAGGGCACCCAATGTCACAATACAGTAAAATTTAACTCCTGCTGTATCACCCCATTCAAAACTTTTAATTTCCTGGAGCATGTGGTTGCAAATGCGGCTGTACAACATCTTAAACTACATCACTGATAAACCAGGAATAGCATACAACATTGATGGGATGTAAAGAAGAAGGCAACCAATCTTGTTTAATAAGATATAAACACACAAGTCTTAACTAACCTGTAACAACATGTTAGTAATCTCTTATACAAGAGATCTCTTGTATACAAGTAATCTCTTACACAAGGGCTTTATGGTGAGATACAACAATCTTCACATACTTTCTTCTAAGGAAACTTTTAAAAAATCATTTTTAACGAATGATTTATAATAAACAAACAACAAACACTATCCTCCCGTTGTTCATTGATTTGCTTGAGTGGGCCCAGTAACGTCTCCATTTTGAGATTTGTTGTTACTGTGTTTGTCATATTGAATATGTCACAGGTAGCTTGCCAGGTTTTGCTGTGTGGGCGAGATACTCTTGGTAGCTTGCCAGGCTCTCTGAGAGGGGCAGAGGAATCAAATCTGGCTTGGCCGGGCTGGCTGCGCACAAGGCAAATGCCCTACTGCTGTGCTATTGCTCCAACCCTGATTTATAATAAGCAATATAAAATAAGTTTTACAGGGCCTGCTATAGGGGGAGGCTTGAGGGGTGGCTGGGAAAATGGAACTAATGGTGGTGGGATGGTGTAATGGTGGTGAGATTGGTGTTGGAATATTGAGAGTAACAAATCATCATAAACAACCTTATTAAAAAATTTTTATTTTTTCTTTCTATTGATTCACCGTGAGGTACAGTAACAAAACTTTCATGTTTAAGCTTCAATCATACAGTCATCAAACATCCATCCCTTCACAGTGCACGTTTTCCACCACCAAATCCCCAGTATCCCACCACCCCATCAACATCCTTCCCTGCCTGTGTGGAAGACAATTTGCACAATACTCTCTTTCTCTACTTTAGTTATCTTCGATATTTCGAGACCAGTCCCACCAGCACTCATACCTGCCTAAAACGTAATGCTAGACAATGTGTTTTGTGCACTCTAGGAATTCTAAAATTTTAATAATTAGGGTCGGAAGAGATCACTGCAGCAAGTTGCTCAGGTCTGAGATTTTTTTGTGTGTCTCTAGATCTCGGCTGTGTGGGAGATTAAGTAGAGGTGGCTGGATGTGGTGTCATCTCGGAGTCCCATTAGGGTGGGGGGAAGGAGAAAGGCGCACTCCTCCCCTGTCCTGTGAGACTTGGCATTTGTTGCCACCGCCACTTGTACCTGTAGCTTTTCACTGACTTCTAGAAAATAGTGGCCACTGGGGATCCTAGAGGGCAGGTGAGGGACAGCACCTGCCCCCGTCTGGAGCAGCCCAATGGGAATGGCCTACTGAAAAGTCTAGGGCCATCTCTGCAGCAAGTAGCTCGGGTCCGAGATTTGTTTGTGTGTCCTATTAAAAAAACTTTTTTGAAAAAAAAAACTTTTTTGAAAAAATGACTGGTTGGTTCTGTGGCTTCTGTTACATCCCAACCAATTTGGTGTGCTTTTACTGGGCTATCAGTATTGTAGAATTTGGAGACATCATACAGAATGCAGACCTGTGCTCCAGAAAATTCAGAATATTTAACTCAGCAGTCTGTGTGTCAGCAACTTTGGGGTATGGGAGTGGCTGCTGGGGTTTTGTTGGGGTAGGAACTAGTCCGCCCCCTCTGAGATCACTCCAGAGGTCTCAGCTGGGAACAGGTGGCTAAGAAATGTTTGCAGCTAGTTAGTCACTTTTGAGATTTATTTATGAGTCTTTGGAACAACGCTGGTAGATGAGCTTACATGGTGGTGGCAGTGGGACATGGGCCTATCTTGACATTTTTTTTTTGAGACCCCGGGGGCGTAGATCTCCAAGCCTGCTCGTATTGGGACTGGGGCCTCCTCCACCCAGATACCCCATCTTCCAATATGTAGGCGTTACACCCACCAACTGCCCCCGGCACCATGCAATCCCATCAATGGCCAAGACCCAGAGTCTATAAAACCCTGCTCCCGGAAGAGAACAGTGCAGAGTCTCCTGCCTCTGCACCTGGCTGTTCTCACCAGGGTCCCTTGGAGGAGGGTGGGTTGAGTTTTCCTCCCCACCCCGAGCAGAGCCCTGGCAGCTGAAGACCTCCTGTTCCAGCCACAGCCATGCTTAAGACCACTCTCTACACGTTCAGACGATCCTCATGTATGAAGGAACCAGCCAAGGAACCCAGGTGTGCTGGACCCGGGGCATAGATCTCCAAGCCTGCTCGGATTGGGACTGGGGCCTCCTCCACCCAGATACCCCATCTTCCAGTATGTAGGCATTACACCCACCAACTGTCCCCAGTGCCATGTAACCCCATCAACAGCCAAGACCCAGAGATTATAAAACCCTTCTCCCGGAAGCACGCGGCCGCATTTGCAGCTGGATGACATCTTATCATCTAGTTCTTACTCTGGAGAACCTGGCAGGCTACCAAAAGTATCCTGCCCACACGGCAGAGTCTGGCAAACTCCCCGTGGCGTATTCAATATGCCAAAAACCACTAACAACGATAGGTCTCATTCTCCTGACCCTGAGAGAGCCTCGAATGTGGCACTTTTTAAAATACCAGGGCTAGGATGAAGGAGACGTTACTGGGGCCTACTCGAGGCAATTGATGAACAACAGGAAGACAGTGATACAGACAGTGATAGTGATTTTTGGGTCACACCCGGCGATGCTCAGGAATTCTTGGGTTTGCACTCAGGAATTAGTGAGTTCTTGGGGGTTCAGGCGGTGCTTGGGGGATCATATGGGATTCCAGGGATTGAACCCGGGTCAGCCACGTGCAAGGCAAATGCCCTCCCCACTGTACTACCGCTCAAGCCCCTATCTTGACTTCTTAAGCAAAGAACTTAAGGGAATAGGAAAAGGTGGCATTTCCCCTTCTCTACCCAGGAGCTGAAATTTCTTCAAACACTTGGAAAGTTGGACAAGCCCATTTACCACAGCATTATAGAGAGAATGTGAATGAGAAAAAAAGCCATGAGGCCTGGGAGCCCTCCAGCCTGCAGGCAGGGCAACAGCCCTGGGCTTGCATGGTGCTCTGTGCAGAAGGGCCGAGGCTTCTGGCCTGGAAACAGTAGCTTTGTTTCCAGGGCTTCAGTGCGTCACCCATTTCTGCAAGCAACAGTAGAGCCTATTCGGGCCTGTCCCATCCCTGACAATCCAACCTCAGCCTGCCCAACCTTGGCTTGTCCAACCTCGAGGGTTAGTCCTATATCAGCCTCCCCCCATGACCTGTCCAACCTCAGATAATCATCAGATAATGTCGAATAATCATTGACCCCTCAACAACGTAAACTATGGAGATGATGATGAGGAGGAGGTTTAGGAGATGGTCCCTTACAGAGCCGCATCTTTCAACCTTTGTCTGGTTACCACTGCTTGGTCTATAGACCAGCTATTATAACCAAGGCAGACCCGTAGTCTTCAACCTTCCCACCCCTGCAGACTGGAATGGGTCTGTGGCCTGGCGCTGCCTCATGTCGCCTGTCATGACATGGTCCTCCTTTCCCAAGCATGGGGTCCTCCCATCATCCTCAGGAGTGTCTCTGCTTCCTAGACTTCCTGCCCATCACTTAGCGTCACTCTTTCTCCTGCTCCATACTCTTTCTTCCTTGTGGCAGGGAGAGGGTACAGAGGGGGACTGTGTGATTGCTTACCTATCCCTAGGATATATACGGCTGCCAGTTGTGCTGTAGCTTCAGTCACCCACACATTTCCTTCTTAAGGGACCAGACTACTGCCCACTCGCTTGTTAAAGGCTGGGGACTTTCTCAGGGTGGCAATGGGGGAATGGGGTACAGGGGTGGCGTTCTGGCAGCCCCACCCAAGTAATGAGGGCCCAGGCCCGGGAGCAGAAGCTTTGAAGCTGTGTCAAGAAGCTTTCCCCAGGGGAAATCAATGATAGGACCCCAGAGTCCTGCATTCACCAAATGACACGCTTGGTCCCTTTTATGAGGAAAGGAACTCCTTATTGGAAACCAAATTACAAATTAATTAGCAGCTTCCTGTGGGGCTGAGGAGCCTCATCAACACCCCCCTGCTGACTTTCTAGCACGAACCCCCTCACTGCGTGGCTATAAAAGGTTGTCTGCAGGCCGGCGATGGCAGAAACTGGGGCTCCAGGGAGCTGTGTGGAGGAGAAAGACCTACCCAGCATGCCATCCAGCTGCTCCCCAGCCTCTGTCAAGAGCTGCCCCCGGCCTGCCTCTGCCTGCTCCAGCAGCCTGAGCTTCCGGCCCGAGCTGTGCCTGGGCTACGTCTGCCAGCCCATGACCTGCGTGCCTTCTGTCTGCATGCCCCCCACCTACCGGCAGGCCAGCTGCCTCCCCAAGGCCTACCTCTCCAGCTGCTGCCGGCCCACCAGCTGCCGGCCCACCAGCACCATGGGCGTCTGCGGCTGGGTATGCGAAGGGACCTTTAACAGCAGTGAGAAAGAGACCATGCAGGTCCTCAATGACCGCCTGGCCAACTACCTGGAGAAAGTGCGACAGCTGGAGCAGGAGAACGCCACCCTGGAGAGCAAGATCCAAGAGGCCTGCCAATCCCAGGTGCCCACCATGTGTCCCGACTACCAGTCTTACTTCAGGACCATCGAGGAGCTACAGCAGAAGGTGAGGGACATGCTGTCAGTGCCATTTGTGCGCTGGGTGACTGCCATAGGGGGTTGCCGATGTAGGTCTCACTCCACAGAGTCGGAAGGTCCAGGGAGAGGACACTTCCTCAGGGCGTTGGGTTGATGCATCATTTGAGCACTCGGCCAGATTCCTTCGTGGGGAAAGAGTTCTGGGGTCCCTCCGGTCTTTGTTCTTCTGATGACTCACTGCATGCCTTGGAGAGCCACTTCTCTTCCCTAAGCCTCAGTTTCTCATCGGTGCAATGGGCACTGTAAATGGTCCTCCCTCAGAGGTAACTTAGGTGGGATCTTTGAGTTCTTACAGGCATGAACTTGCCCAGCTCTCAGTGCTCAGAGAACTGTCAGTCAGCTGCACTCAGAAGTATGATTGACTTCTGGCCAAACATGAATCTTTCCTTCCATGCTGGGCATGGCACCCAAGATGGGGCATCTGGGCTGAGAGGGCTTCAGATATCAATCTCATATTCTCCAAGGACAAGCATGCTTCAAATATCCCCTTGCATTTGTGGGAAGTGGGCTTCTGCAGGAGGGGGGCACCCCACCTGGTCCCCACTGGGGCCTTTTATCTCCTCTCATCCTAGACCCACCCCACTCTTTTATTGTATATATTGTCTCCCAGGTTCTATGCACCAAGGCAGAGAATGCCCGGATGGTCGTGCACATCGACAATGCCAAGCTGGCTGCTGATGACTTCAGGACCAAGTGAGTATGGCCTGGGGACAGGGAAACTTCATCTTCAGGTGTATCCATGGGGAGGAGTCAGTGTTCTATTAGCTTCTTTGAGGCAATCCAATACCAGCACTTCCAAGTGGGTCCCGGGTCTCCGTGCCTCCCCTTTTCCCACTTGGTTGCTGACCCTGTCCCTATCCAGGTATGAAACTGAGGCAGCCATGCGGCAACTGGTGGAGGCTGACACCAATGGCCTGCGCCGGGTGTTGGATGAGCTGACCCTGTGCAAGGCTGACTTGGAGGCCCAGGTGGAGTCCCTCAAGGAGGAGCTGCTGTGCCTTAAGAAGAACCACGAGGAGGTGAGCCCTGAGGTCAATTGGGGGCTGTGCAGGATGGGCTCAGCTTGTCCCTGGGAACACCAGCAGCCTTTCGAGGCCTCGGCCCAGTACTTCCAAAGGTACTGGGGCGAGGCCTTGAAAGGTACTGAGTACTGGTACTGAGTCACCTGCTGGTGTCTGGGAGCCCTCTGCAGAGGTCTGTCCTTTCGAGGTCACATGGAAGGGTAACTTGTGTGTCTACTTGTGTGTCTACTGATGCCTCAGTGATTTTTTCTTCTCTATCCCCTGCCTCGTTCTCCCTTCTCTCTGCAGTTAACTTCTTTTTTGTTTTTGGGTCACACCTGGCAATTCTCCGGGGTTACTCCTGACTATGCACTCAGGAATTACTCCTTATGGTGCTCAGAGGACCATATGGAATACCGAGAATTGAATCCAGGTTGACAGCATGCAAGGCAAACACCCTACCTGGCAGTCAACTCTGAAACACATCATCCAAAAGCCACTGGCCAACCCTAAATCCTCTGATTTTTAATTTGGCTTTGGCAGGTCTGGGAAATTAGCTCCTCTCTCCCTCTCCTCACACCCCACATCTGTTTGGGCAGGATTCACCTGAACTATGACACCTCCCCCTCTTCCCTAGCTAGACTTGCAACCCTTTGACTTTGTGCTTTTTTAATTTTTGGGGTCATACTCAGTGGTGCTCAGGGTTTACTCCTGTTTCTGTGCTCAGGGATTACTCCTGGTGGGGCTTGGAGGTCCATGTATGGTGCTGGGGATAGAACTGGGGTTGGACTAGTGCAAGGAAAGTACCTTACCTGTACTGTGTCTTTGGGCCTTGGGATTGGGTTGAGGAGGTGCCCACCATTCTGGCTGTGTTTCCTTCACTGTAAACTAACAGCCAGTTATAACTGCTCCCCATGCCCAGAGGCCCTTGACTCAGACCACAGAGATCTGGGAACCCCACCAAGAAGCCACTAATGAGGCATGATCAGCCTCTGTAACAACTTTCTGTCTTTGGCAGCCAAGCCTGCTCCAAGTTGGGCCTTGGACTCGGGGAAGCCAGATCCTGCTATCTGGAGGAAGGCTGGCAACAGCCGGGTTTGGCCCCGTGTGCCAAACGAACTCAGCTTCTGCCAAGGGGACAGGTAGTGCTGTATTGGGGAGCACCTCCCCTCACCCATCCCCGGGTGTCCAAGTGAAGCAGGGCGACCGCAGGACCCTGCAAAGTGGACAGAACCAACAACATAGACACCTTACCCTGGCCACTTCCATTTTTTTCCACGCCTCTCTGGGGTGCCGTGAGTTGAGCTTTCGTGTCCTCCCACTTGCCCGGGACTCTTATGCCTTTGCAGGAGGTCGGGGCCCTTCGCTGCCAGCTTGGGGACCGCCTCAACATTGAGGTGGATGCCGCGCCCCCCGTGGATCTGAACAGGATGCTGGAGGAGATGCGGTGTCAGTATGAGACCATGGTGGAGAGCAACCACCGGGACGTGGAGGAGTGGTTCAATATGCAGGTGGGCCTCCCCGCTGGGCTGGGCGGAGCGTGGGAGCACCCCTGCATCCCCGAAGAGCACCAGCCTCCCCTCCGCTCCCCCACGGGCAGATGGAGGAGCTGAACCAGCAGGTGGCCTCGAGCTCAGAGCAGCTGCAGAGCTACCAGTCGGACATCATTGACCTACGACGCACTGTCAACACTCTTGAAATTGAGCTGCAGGCCCAGCACAGCCTGGTGAGGCCCACGGGGTAGTGGCTCCCCAGCTGTGCTCCCAGGGCAGGGAGGAAGTGGGGAGGGGGACTGAAGCAGCCACACCCCTGCCCTCCCACGCCACCCCGTACCTCTGCTGAGACTCCTGGAGGGAGTTTTCTCCCAGGGCCCCTCTGTCTGCTGAAAGACCTTGTGTGCCTCTGTACTGCTGTGGGCACCCATGCCTCATTCCTCCCTAGAGGGACTGTTTAGTTCCTCGTTTATGTTTTTATTTTGGCTTTGTTTTGGGTTTGGGGGCTATACTCACCTGTGCTCAGGGCTTTCTCCTGGCTCTGTGCCCAGGGATCATTCCTGGCAGGGCTCGGGGGACCTTAACTGGTGCCAGAGATCAACCAGGGCTGGCTGCCTGTGAGGCAAGTGCCTTAATTCCTGTGCTAGCTTTCCGGGCCTGGACCAGTTTCTGTAAGTGCCCTTGAGGTCTGGATGTTTTACAAGACTCTCCCTGGGGCTTAGCAGCCAGCCTTGGTGACCTCTGTTTTGACAGGCCATCAGGGAGGGACACCCCATCTCCCAAGCTTGAGTTTAAAGGAGGAACAAAGGCATTCATGACTTCTTGGATCTGGGTTCAAACCCTGGTTTGGTGTGTGAGCAGCTACTAAGAACTTGCAAAAGCCACTAACCTTTTCTAGGCCTCATTTTCCCCAGATTTGAGAGGGAGGGCCTGAGACACTTGACTCTTCTTGGCCTTTTCTTATCTCTGTTTGATTTTTGGGCCACACCCAGCTATTCTCAGGGATCACTCCTGGCAGCGCTCGGGAGACTGCCTGTGGTGCCAGGATCTAACCTGAGTCAGTCGTGTGCAAGGCAAGCCCCCTCCCTGCTGTGCCATTTCCCCAGCCCCTTCTCGGTTCTTTTGGAATCAGGTCACATTCCCTGGCTCGCTGCCCTTAATAACCTTGTCTCTACTGGGCCACAGAGGGACTCCCTGGAGAACACGCTGACCGAGACTGAGGCCCGCTACAGCTCGCAGCTGGGCCAGATGCAGTGTATGATCACCAATGTGGAGGCACAGCTGGCTGACATCCGCTGTGATCTGGAGCGGCAGAACCTGGAGTACAAGATGCTGCTGGACGTCAAGGCGCGGCTGGAGTGTGAGATCAACACATACCGGGGCTTGTTGGAGAGTGAGGACTGCAAGTGAGTGGTGGCCCTGGTGGGGCCCTGCAGACCCCAGGGCAAGGCTGGGGGTGGTTGCAAATGGGTCTCCTCATAAGACAGAAGACGCTGTCATGATGGAGGTGCTAGGAAGCGGGTATGACCAAAGATAGCTGGGCAGGGAGTCATGGCGCCAGCCCCTAACCCAGCCTGTGGAGAAGGCTCAGTTCTGCTCCGACTCTGTAGACTCCTCTCCTGTGCCATCCTGTGCCAGGCAACCGGGTGGGGTGGGTGGTTACTGAGATAGATGGTGGCAAGGCAGCTGCTCTCAAGTTATTTCCTTCGGCTTTGGGAGCTGGGCAGACAGTCAGCTGGTGTTCAGACTTGGCAGGCTCACGGGCGGTGCACAGAGCTGAGGCAGGGCAGGCGGGAGGAGGATGAAGGGTCTGTTTCAGCCTGTCTCTGAGATCCTTGACAAACTGCAGGGGAGGGAGGAATCTTTCTTTCTTTCTTTCTTTCTTTCTTTCTTTCTTTCTTTCTTTCTTTCTTTCTTTCTCTCCTTCCTTCCTTCCTTCCTTCCTTCCTTCCTTCCTTCTTTCTTTCTTTCTTTTTTTCTTTCTTTTGAGGAGGGAGTAAGAACTGACTTAAGTGCCTGTCTCCAGCATTAGATGGTAAACACCCAGGATTCAGAGACAATAGAAAGTATGTTAGCCCCTGTCCTGGCACGTAGGTGCTCATGGAACCCATATCCATGGAGTCAGTGACAGGAAGAAGGTGCAGGTGGATGCAGGAAGGACGGAGTGGAGGGAGTAGGGAAGCTGGGCAGGAGGATCTGGCCATGGTTGGGTTCACCTGAGGAAGAAAGGGGCTGGATCAGGGCAGTGGGGACCTGGTGGAGCTGCGCAGTGCTTGCCTGAAAGCTGCCTCCCTCCCTCCCTCCCTCCCTCCCTCCCTCCCTCCCTCCCTCCCTCCCTCCCTCCCTCCTTCCCTCCCTCCCTCTTGCCCTCCCTCCTTTCTTTCCTTCTACTTTTCTGTCCTTCAGGATCTTGTCTGGAAAGCCCCATGCTGTTTACATGCACAGTGTTAACAACTTGATGAGGCTAGAGAATGGGGAGTAGGGGACCCAGTCCTTGTCCAGTGCGATGGTGCTGCTCCCTCGGACCATTTTCTACAGGAGAGGCGCAGGCCCAGCATGCTGGGGGATGATGCTGGGGGAGCCTGGAATCTGATTTGTCTTAGATGTTAAATTTCCCTGATTTTTGAATGTTTTTGGCAACAACAACAACAAAGAGTGTAAGGATCAGGGAAGCACATGGTCCTTGGGCTGCCTCTTTGGATTGGGGTCCACCCACTGTCCCCTGTGCTGGCCTTGGGTTCGAGCTACTCTGCCAGACTCTGAGATTTCCCCTCTTTCCCTTTGCCATATATTCCTATATTCCTTCCGTACTCATCGATGAGTTCCTCTTATTCACCATATTCTTTTTTGTTTTGTTTTGGGGTCACCCCTGTGGTACTCAGGGGCTACTCCTGGTTCAGTTCTGGCATCAATCCCAGCAGTGCTCAGGGGATCAAATTCAGACCCTCCAGCATGCAAAACATGTGCCAGCAATCTCCCTGGCCCCTTTCCCACATTCTCACCAAATGCCTGCTCTGTGCCAAGTGTGGGGTGTGGGGTACACATGCACATATGCACACACACACACACACACACACACACACACACACACACTCCAGCTGGACTCAGGCCTATGGGGAGAAGGTCCCGCTCACTTGTCCTATGTGGGGATTTGATGTGGAGGGAAGCTGGAAGCTCTTCTTCACCTTGAACACCAAGGTGGAACCATGGAAGGTTCTGGGCTGGGGAGGGGCATGTTTTGTGTTTCTAGAAGATTGCTCTGATTGTAGAGTTGGTGATGGACAGGCTAGAGTGGTCCGTTGGGGTGGGGGGACTTCTGTTAGATGTGATCAGGGTCCTGGGAAGATAGGTGGAGATGGTGCTGTGGGGGAAACCCTGCTGGATACTGGGGTGGGAAGTGGTGGATTTGTGGCCCTAGTATCCTTCTCCTCTAACCCCACGCCTGTGCCTTTCTCCACAGGTTGCCCTGTAACCCGTGCTCCGCCCCCTCCTGCCCTCCATGTGCGCCCTCCCCGTGTGTGCCTCGCACTGTCCTTGTCCCCTGCATGCCCTGCCCCCAGGGCCGCTACTGAAACCCTGCAGGACTGGAGCAGGCCTGAGGGGCCTCTACAGGACCAGCCTGATCACAGTGTAGGGGCCACCCAGTCCTTGGGGAGCCCCTTGCCAGGAGGAGGAGCCTGGGGGTAACTGGATGGGGCCCATCTGCAATGCGCTTTGCTACAGCAAGGGGCGCCCCAGCCCCCGTCTCTTGGAAACTGCCTCTCATTTCCCCAGGGCAACTTGTTCTCTGCTGAAGCTTCTGTCTCGTTGCCTTGAAGGGCCTGTGTGCTGATTTGACTGAGTTAATAAAAGCCTCATTCAGTGGCTCTGTAAACTCCTCTACTCTCTTAGGCTGCTGCGTTCACTGCTCAGTTCCACTCAATTGGGCTCTGGAAGAATGTGGCCAGATTCTATCCTTATTCCTTAGGCCCCATCAGCTTCTGTGGAGCTTGTCTGAGAGGCATTTGCTAAAAAAAAAAAAAGTCTTGAAACTATGTAAAACCGGGAGTTGGTCCAGAGCCAAGTAATAAAATAATAAAGAGAAGGAGGGAGATAATTATGCTTAGAAGCCAAGGCCAGACAACTGTAATTGAGAATAATTCTGTAACACCCCACCCTCCACCTCATTATAGCTGGTACAATGGGATCATTCATTCCCCAGTTTCACCGACTCCCTGCTGAGTATAGGCTCTGCATTTGGGGCTGGCTGACCCAGATGACAGCTCCCAGGTCACTTTGTTAATAATGTCCCATCGAAACCTTGCAAAAAACCAAATCTATGAAAAAAAGTGCCATTATAAAGCTACCCTTTATTAATGAGGAACCTGGAGTCCAGAGAGATGAAGAAACTTACCCAAGGAAGCATAGCTCAGAAGAGGTGGACCCAGGACTCAAAGCTAGTCCTTCAGTTTTAGCGATGCTCAGAACATCCACATTCCAACTCCTTCTGGGGATACCAAACCATGCAAGTGACCCCCTAACATTTGGACACAAGTCAAATGGGTGGCCCCATTCTATCCTCAGTCAGGGTCACCTAACAACAGCAACTGCAAACACTCCCATTACTTCCACTGACCCTTCTGGGCGTGCATTAGTGCCAAACAACAACAGTGGTTTTCACAGCCTCCCTGTAGGACCCATCGGGTTCAGGGTGGTTTTAGGGGTGCAAATGGAGGTATGGAGAAGGCCTGAGTCAGGGGCCCAAGTGACCAGCAAGAACAAAGCTTTCACTCCACCACTGTAGCATTCTTGCTGTGCACAGCTGCTGGCCTTCCTGGAAGCTCCCATGGGGGCAGTGTTGGGGGGTGGCTGGTCTGGTCTACAGGGAAGCAGAGTCCTATCCAGCAGGCCCTGGGGAGGGGGGCTGCGGGGAGCAGCAGGGGCCTGTGAAAGACAGGTGGGAATGAAGCCCAGAGGTTTTGGAGGTGTCTGCTATGGGGAGGGGAGCTTAGTTTCCTACAAAGTTCCTGACTTCTGACTCCAAGGGCTGCTGCACAGTCGCACCAAGGATGGCCTGAGTAGAGCAGAATTTGAGAAGGTTCCCCCAAGGAGGATAAACGGGATAGTGGGGGGCTAGCGTGTGGTAACAGGGACTCAACCGGGGCATTGTTTTTGGGGATGAAAAAGGAATGCTCTTGAGGGGTACTATGAAGAGGGGGGGCATGGGGGTGGCTAAACATTGGCAGTGGCAGATAGAGGAGAGAGCCAGGAATAGGAATCTTGAACCCCTTTCTGAACACCATGCTCCAAGTCTATAGTTCTTCCTTTAGGAGGGAGTAGGGGTTCTTTCAGGGATTGGCACGTGCCAAGAAAGGTCAGAAATGGACTGGGTCCCTAAGCTGCCTGTCTTGCAGGCACGTAGCAAGTGTATGGTGAGACCTCACCCTGCACTCAGCTGGTAGGTTCCAGCACATCATCAGTTTTAATAACCAAGTGCAAACCAGCATCCTTCTCTGCATCCTTCTGTAGCATTTGTCTGCATTGAGATTATCCTGGTAAATGTCATACAGAGAAGGGAACTGAATCTTTGTTCTCTGGTACTTGATCTGCTCTGGCTAATCTGACAGCCATTAGTGATACCAGTTGATTTTTTCACCTGAAATCAACAGGATTGAAATGGCAGCATTGAGCCACATTTCAAACACTGAATCCCTACCTGTGGCTTGTGGTCCCGCCCTTGATGGTGAGAATATAGACTACTTCCATCATGACTCTGTTGGCTGGTGCTGTGCTTTCAGCATCATGTGGAGCTTTGCAAGGACCTGGTCCAGCCTTTTTCCTGTGCAGACAAGAGCCTTGAGCCCAGGAGACTGGAAAGATGTATTCACAGACACACAGCCGACAGGTGGGAACTGCAGCCAAGCCTAGCAGGTCTCTGCACTCCTTATTCATCCTCCAGATTTTATTATTATTTTAGGCAGGTACATGGTTTCCCTTTCCCCTTCTTCCATGTCTCTAAGAATAGACTCTTTTCTCTGAGAGGATGGAGCTCTTTTCTTGGACTAGAGTTCTGTTGAAAACAATGAACAACTGCCAGATTCAAGACGTCCTCATCCTTGAAACACTTGACATAAAATAGGAGGAGCCTGGACCTCAGAGCAATCAGCTCAGAGCCTTGGGGTGGGAGGGGAGTCCTGGGCCCTTTGGGAATTTCTACTGGTTCCTGTGTCCAGCAGATATGGTTCAATTCAACTTGGGGCTTGTTTTCACAACTGTGTGTCACTCTGATTTGCCAAGGCCTGTCTGACTACCTCCTGCTCACCCCCCACCCCTCAATGTCTATTTACATTTTCTAGATGAAACTTAGTCCCAGGTCCTGGAACACACACCTCTCCTGGACATGTGTGGCTGCCATTTTTCTTAGTGGATGGTGCCTTCCCACTGGAAATGCCATGCCCGGCTCCTGATGGCTCAAAGGGTTGTTGATATGGGAAGCATTTCTACCCACCTGCACCAGGACCTCTTGGAAACTGGGGCCAGTGCATTAATGCGAGGATTCTCCTATCAAAGCATTTGGGTTTAATTAGCTCTGGTTTACAGGAAAACTGAGGTGTTCTAAAGCAATAAAACCTCCAGTCTATTTGATGTTTGGGAGAAACTCCCACAGATATCAGGATCCTCCCTCATTAGGGTTTGGAAAGATAGGACAGTGTTTCAGAGACATCAGCTTTCACACGGAGGCCTTTTGGACCTCAATACCCTAGGGGCAGACCTCTGTGTGTGTGTGTGTGTGTGTGTGTGTGTGTGTGTGTGTGCTGTTCAGGGAAACTCAGCTAGAGGGCGATGGTGAGTGAGAAGCCAGGGGGTGACACTTCCTGGGAGGAGGGTTGGGTCTTCCACTCTCTGTTCTATGAGGCACACTTTTACAGTCAGATCAAAGAAGAATACAGCAGGTGATAACTGAAAAAAATAAATCAGTAACAAACAATGCTTTTTGGGTTTGTTAATTGTAGTACATGAATGCAAGAAAGGACCTCAGTTTTGTTCAACAGAAAATTCTTTATTTTATTTTTAAACAATTAGCCAGGGACTGGAGTGATAGCACAGTGGGTAGAGCATTCGCCTTGCACACGGTCAACCAGGGCTTTCCCAGCATCCCATATGGTCCCTTGAGCACTGCCAGGAGTAATTCCTGAGTGCAGAGCCAGGAGTAACCCCTGTGCATTGCCAGGTGTACTCAAAAAGAAAAAAAAAAACAATTAGCCAAGATAAAAATTTCTACTTCTAAATAGTTCTCGTTCTACTCCACAAATCAGTAATCAAGTTTTCCTGTGCATGTTTTTTTCCTGAATAGGAAATGACTGGTGGCTTTGGTTTTGTAGCACCTGGGCTGAACCCTCTCACCTTCATCCCATCCCCACTACCTACTTCCTCTGTGTACCTCAGTTTCCTTCTCCCCTTTGGAGGCAAGTGTGGTTCCCCTTCATCACAGGTCGGGGACAGTGTGGGTTCACACATCTCACTGTGGCTGGCAGGTTCTAATGCTCCAGAAATGTTGGCACAGGAAATTTTCTATGGCCACAAGCCCCCTGTCTTCTGCTTGCTTCCAATGATGGTGGCTGTTGAGTCCAATGTCACTTTTCTGAGAATCTGGGAGTCCAGGTTCCAGAAAGAAGAGTTGCTGCAGTGACCGTAATGGCATCCGGGCACTTTGGAGACACTCTGCTCTGCTCCTACATTAGAAAATGTGGACGGATTCAGTTATGGGCCACAAAGACTTGGTCATGTGGGCAGTTCTGAATCTGAGGCTTAGATCTGGGGTCCACCAGGAGGATGTCCTCTCTCATACCAGTCCTTTGACTTCCCAATCTAGGAATCCCCGTCAGGTTTGTCTCAGTGGTTGGCCTCTGTAGACCGGGGATTTGCAAACCAGAAACTCAGGTATTCCGTCCTGGAAGGAGAGGGGCTGGAAACTGAGTTAATGATCCATCAATGCCTGTGTGATATGGCTACCATAAAACCCCTGTTCACAGGATTTGGAGAACTTCTGGGTTGGCTAACATGCTGAGGTATTAGGAGAATGGGGTATGTGTTCTTTGCACCCTTCCCACATACACGCCAAGGTCCCCTGCCTCTGGTAGTTTTCTGTGTCTTTTATTATATTCTGTCTAATCAAACACCAAAAGCAGCTTATGTGCCTGATGTCTGGGAATAAATCCAGCAAATGACCAAACTCCTAGGTCCCTGGGATCCCCTCAAGGCAAAGCAGGTACATCAGAACTATAGTTGACAACCGGAACTTGAACTTTGCCATTGGAATTGATAAGGTGGAAGTGATAAGAAAAAATGTGTAAGGTAGGGTTAACAGCAAGTAAGGGATTAAAGGTGGCAGAGACTGATCTTACTGAATCAAAGGGATGTGAACTATAAGGCTTTACAGTTTACGTTAACAGCAGGTAGCTATGGCAACAATGGGGAGCTGGAGTCCTAGGGTTAGAGGTGGCAGAATTGGGTGGGGGTGGGGGGTAGGGTGGGGATACAGAAACATATATTGCAGCACAGATTAGAAAAGGAGTAAATCCAAGCAACACATTTCATAACAGGGTACACATCCATAAAGTTCAGGAGTGATTTCCCATATCAAAAGTGGAGGGGAAGAGTACCAGGTGAATGACTTGATTAAATTGGTTATTTTGAATCTTACCTGCTAAAA